ATAGCGAAAACCTCTCAAAAAAAAAAAGACAAATCCCACTAAAGGCAACCTAAATAAAATCTTCTCCTGGAGGCTACTCTGGGTCTCTACTTGGGAAAAGAGAGTCAGTCTAGAGGCTCTGTGCATCACTTCATGGAGATTGCCATAATCTCGAAATAAACCTTTGCAGATGAGGGAGAGGAAGCACCAGTTCTGGCACTGTGTGCAGCTGCAGTGAGAACACAGGACATGACACCTTCCATTCCTGTCCTAGGTGCAGATTTATCCCTGCTTTATCCACCTTGCAGGAGGAAGTGCTCAGAGTTGGTGTGCAGGCTTTACCAGACTTTTCTCTTAGCTCTAAGACACAGCATCTTAAAGTCTGGTCCCTGTCATCACTCAACCTCCTTACAATCAACCGCACAGGAGGAACTGCAGATTCACAAAGCCCCACACCACCTGGCTCAGGCCATGTGCACTCGACCCTGCTCACCTGGATTCCCACCTCCACCCCTCTGTGACTTGACCTTTAGGTCTTAGACCCCATATCCCCACCTTCCTCATATGGTCACTGCTCCTGGATGCTCTCATTCTAAGGTCAATGGTGGCTCTGGCTTATCCTGGTACCCGACTACTCACACAGACCTTCAAAGGGCAGATACTTAAGGAATGTTTAAGAAGGAAATGCACAAGGAAGAAGTTTCACTCATGACAATTTAATTTCCATTTGAATAAGCTAACAGGATCCAAGTAAATGTCTTTTTAATTCTAAAGACAGAAGAAAAATGAGGAGGAAATCAAAAAGTAACACTTTCCTCTATTTTACTGATAAATCCTTTCACATTTCCCAAGGACATTCTTATTCTAACACCATGTTTTCTTGTTACAGCTTACAAATAAGACAAGTTTCTCAACTTGCTTTACAAAAAAGCAAAACTACATTTTTTACACTGGATAATAAATGCATGACCATGCCATCTATAAACTTAAATTCTGAAGTTAGTAATGAAAGAACATTTTAAATGCCAAACAGAAAAGAAGTAAATTCCCAAGTCATCCAAATAGAACAGTAAGACAAAGATGTTATAGCCTATATATACCTCCCTCCTCCCCCCGCCCCAGCCAGGCCCTCCCCTCCTTAGATCACTGGCTTCCCACTTAAACCACACAGCGAAGAAATTGCCTGACTCTACTCGGGGCAGGAGAAGCTGCCGGTGGCACTAGAAATTGGAGCTGAGTGGCCATGGCGGTGCTATCATCTGCAATGGCCATTGTGGCCTGGGCTCTCTCCTCTTCCTCTCTCAAAGCCTCCTCATACCACAGTGGGAAGGCTGTGGGATTACTCCCATAGACCTTGGCCAAATACTCCAGAACTTTCATCTTGCTGGTTTCAGCATGGGCCCTTGGACCCCATAGGAACTCGTAGCAGGCAGGATCACTGCCAGCCACCTGCCTGTACTCCAGATAGTTTTCCTGCACCCACTTTTCAGTGAGGAGCCTCCTGGGCTCCCCACAAATGACATGCTCAATGCCCTCAAACACACCCATCATATTCAGCACTTTCCAGACCACTTCCTCAGTGGCATGGTTGCCCTCCATCAAGATCACACCCAGGACGATGACCAAGAGCCCAGACTTGGGCATACTGTCATCAACACTAGGTATCTTATCAAAGGCGAGGCCCAGCCTGGTGACAAGGACATAGGAATTGCTGGCGGGGTCGATTTCCTTTATGTCAATGCCAAAGAGCAGCAGCAGACAATCAGAGGCTTCACTGAAGATCTCAGGGTAGTACTTCTGGTAATTCTGGATCACACTACTCAGCATTTCCTCCTTGGTGGTCGGCTCCTTCACTCGATACTTGTGCAGCAGGAAGTGCACCAAATCAACCACCTTTCCTTCTATCTCATTTTCGAGTGAGGATTCAGCTTCTGGCAGGGCCCGAGAGGAGCTCGGCCCCTCTACATCTTGGCATCTGGGACCCTCTTCAGATTCGAACAGAGCAGAGGCCATGGCAATAGGAGAGGAGCAGGCTCTCCGAGGACTTGATGTTTCAGCAGCAGCAGCAGCAGCAGCAGCAGCAGCAGCAACAGTAGCAGCAACCCTCTCTTTTGGCAACAGTAGCAGCAACCTCCTCTTCTGAGGTGCTGGAGTCTAGAGGATAGCAGGAGGAGGAGGAGGGGAAAGGAGAGAAGGGTAAAGAGGACGAGCTAGTGGAGGAGGAGGAAGCATCCTCCTCCACAGCTGGGGACACCTGGCCATGCATGACACCTGGTGCCTCACTTTGGGACCCAGGGCTTTCCTCAGGCATACAGCGGCGACGCTTGGGAGCACGAGACATGGTGACTGTGGTTGGAGCTGCAGGCAGGAGTGTGGCAGAGACTGGATGAGTGATCCACAGACCTGA